GCTATGCACCGCCCAATCTAAACTTAGTTTGGCTGGGAGTTTACAAATTAACTCCTGCAAAAGCATAGGATTGTTCAAATGAGCCGTGAGACTGGCTGCTTGTATTGTTGAAATTAGGTTCTTTACTTCTAGTGAGAAGTTGACTAGCGTTTCTAACTTGTTTGCATTTACCCCAGCCGAAAAACGAATCTTTTCCAAAATATTGTTAATTAAATATTCAGGCTTACCGAAAACCATTCGAAGCGTAGCGATTACCTCCGGTACTAACTCTGGTAGTAAAAGTTGACTGCTCACGTATTCATATGCTTTACCTTTAAGTGCACGTTGCAGTCTGAGCATGTTCTCGTCATTGCTGAAACCACAAATTCGAGTTGAATTTTCAAAATTACTTATAAAGACTGGCCAGTCCTCTGGTTTGCCACTGAAAGTTTGCAGCTCTTTTGGAATAGCATGCCTTGCTTGTATTTGCTCGCGTCGCTGATACGTTCCCGATGACGTATTACGACAATATTGTGATTGGGTATATTGACCATACTCGTGATTGCCATTATCACGACTAACGCATCTACCGCCCTGCACCTGTCTATAACACCCATCCACTTGTTGAGTACTACCTATTTGCATGAATGTCGAAGCATGCGTACTTGGACCATTTCATGAAGTCGACACTGATCCCCTTGTTTGTATATTCGCATCATGTGCAATATTGTTGGTTACAGGATAGCTTGCTGCACCCTGTACACCACCGTGCATATTTTCATTTGTTGCATTCAATACAGTAGACATGCAAGAAAATGTTGCATCCGCGTTGATGTTCGTGTCAGGCGTGACACCATGTCTCTGCAATATTTCATATTTCCTTCTTAGAAACAGAAGATTTGTTTGCTGCTCTTCTTCCAGACGTTGAAGCTCCAATCTTACATCTAGGACACTACCCACTAGCGTAGCACTCTCCTGCATACACTTCTTTGCTTGCTCTGCGTTGTCCGGAGGCTGTGAAGTCTCTTCTTGCTGCGATTTGGGTTCAATGGCGACGACCGTGTTATTGTTGGTACATTCATTGCATACCCAACTACTCGTTGCGATGCTAGCTGAGACACCTGCGCACTGAAAGTGAAACCACTTGTCACAGTCATCACATTGCACCATGTCTCCCTCCTCGGAATCTTTGCAAATGCCGCAATCAGCCTCGGTGCTCATGTTTAGAAATTTGCCACAAATTTTTTAAAGAATTGTTGGTTCACCAACGTTCACAGCAGCTGTCCGCCCAGTTAAAACAATCGTGTTGCCCACTTTTAATTTGAGCAGGTACAGCAGCTTTAAAAAACTATTTATTGAAATTAAAATCCAAGTTAATACATATAATTCATTTACATCGTTTTAGAAAAATAAAAAGGGAGTACGAATAATGTTCGTTTGCGAATTCAAAAGTGACGTTCGCTTAAAAACTTCTAAGAATATAATCCAAGAATAAAAGAAAACCAAAGAATGTTCGCGTTTGTATATTTCTTTGTTTGGCAGAGTTGCATCTTTTCTGTGCTGCCATATTGTTACGTNTCCACAATCTTCAGTTAATAATGAGGTAAGATAAACATATTATATTATTATTATATTTATTTTAACAATTTCATGCAAGAAAGTTTTTCTGCTTGAGTTTATGTAAGTTTTTACAGAGAGTCTTTGGTTCGAATTTGACCAATCCGTAAGTTACAAAATTTGAAACACCGCTAAAAACGTTGCTAGAGGATTCCAGTTAATATGCGACATTAGTCGTGTGGATAGTCTCAATCCACTAGCTGTCTGGGCTACTCACATATTTATCCATGCTTATAAAGTGGCACTTATATTTCTACCAATACCCGCCAATTCTGCTCCATCGGAAAGGCCACATTTTTCAAAAAGTTGTCCGTAATTACCAAATATCGATTCAAAAAATTTTTAGAATTTTTTTTTGTGAGAATTAAATTTTTTTTTAATTTTCATGCTGTATAACTGGAACAATTTTCAAAATCTTTAAAAATCCTTTAGTGTCTTTTTTTTGCCCAGCATTGAATTTCACTAAATTACAGATTATTCTAAAGACCACTGGTAAATCAAGATATTTATGGCGTATTCTGACTCCTATATTTATAGCTAATATATGAGTTAAATGCAGAGTATACTTAATACATTTTCTTTTTATTAAAAAAGTCGAACAAAGTCGACTTTTCTTCGTGGATCGGTCGACTTTTAAAGTCGACTGTACAGAGTCGATCGAAAAGTCGAAAGTCGACTTTCTAGTGAAGTCGAACAACCCTACTTTCAATATAATGTCCACATCCTTTCGTTTAACTATGGCCAAAATGTCATCCTCATTAGAANACTATCAATACTCCTTGATAGTTTTTTCTTATACTATCAAAAATATCGATAGTTTAGTGGACTATCGATCATCTCTACCAATTATTTTGAAATTATTTGAATTGGAATTAAAAATTTTGTTTTTAGTGCGATGCCGACGTCATATTCAAATATGCACGCATTTAGGGCAAAATACATACATATGTTAATCGTAAATCCTGTTTTATTTGTATAACTTGTATTTGTTTTTGAACTTTCTAAAAAGAGAAGTATTTTGGCAAAGCAGTTACTTAATTTTGAGTGATTATAAATTTTATAAGATAATATTTATTTCACTATGATCCANTTCCTTAATTTTGAGTGATTATAAATTTTATAAGAAAATTTTTTATTTCACTATGATCCTGTATAAACAAAGCAACCTAACTGATTTAGCGCTATCCATAGTGCTATCGATAGTTTTGTTTTTTTCGAGACTATCGTGAATATTGATAGTTTTTCTGAAAACTATCAAAACTGTCGCTGGTGTGACTATCGATAGTTTGACACCTCTAATCCACATATTTTACTATAAATTGTATATCAATTTTATAGATTTCTTTAAGTTCTATCAAAGTTGCGTTCAGTAAATCGTCCATTATAATATCAGCAATTGTGGGTGAGAGAGGGTTTCCCATTGGCATTCCAAAGGTTTGAATGTAGAATTTTTCGTTGCACGCGAAATAATTATTATCCTTCTGGCAGAAATTAAGGATATTTAGAAATTTGTTTTTGGGGATGTTCGTCGACTGTTTTATTGTGCTCCATTTTGACATTATGATATTAATGGCTAAGGGTATCGGAATGTTGGTAAACAACGATACTCATCAAAAGACACCAGCAATTCTTCCTCACTTACTTTTACTTTATCCAGTTTATCTTTCAATCTGAACGCATTTTTTATATTGTATTCCTCAGAGATGAGATTACTGAGAATCTTACCTACATATTTGGACAAACCATAACACGGAACATTGATGGACGAACAAATTGGCCTTAAGGGCAAGTCAGGTTTGTGGATCTTTGGTAATCCGTAAAGTCGTGGTGCAATCGCTGCTGTGCATACGAGTTGTTGTTTACCTCTGTAGTCAATAATTTTGCTTTTGTACAATTCGTCAACCAGGGTGTTGTTCTTCCTCTGTAGCGCATTTGTTGGATCGTTTCTTACTATTTTATACGTGTTTTTGTCATCAAGTAGTTTGTTCATCTTTTCTGTGTAGTCCTCTTTGTACATTACCACTGTTTTGTTTCCCTTATCTGCGTCTGTTAAGATAATATCGTCTTTGTGCGACTTTAAGAAAGTTTTGGTCTTATTGAATGTTTCTAATATAAATTTTTCTGCTGAGTTGTGCCTTATATTCCGTTTAAATTGTATTATATTATTGCTGAGTTTGCATCTTGCAATTTCCTTGACTCTGTCATCCTTTTCTTGTTGTATGATTTGTTCAATTTCTGCAATCATTCGAATCGGTGGGAAACTAGTCTTCGTTGTGGGTAGTGTGAATTTCCTGCCTAATGACAGCAGCCACTTTGTTTCTACTGGGAAATCTATGTCCGTTTTGTTTACAAACCAATCGTTGTTTAAATCTATTCCCAGCTTCTGCATTTGTTGGTATTTTAGTCTCTCGAGCTTAGATGTTTGTATTGTTTCGCGTTCTTTTTTAATTCTCTGGCCGAGGCAGTCTTGCTTGCAGATAAAGCAATCCAGTTCTATTTTGCTTATGCTGTGTTTAAGTTGTTGTTGCGCGTGATGTAGATGGGTCTTAGAAGTCCTAATACTCATGTTTGTTTGTGAAATTTCTGTATTGAGTATTTTCTTTAAAAAAAGTTGTTTTGTTTTTTCGGTTTGTGCTTTTAGTTTGTGGGATGTGGTGTTTATATTAACCTTCTTGATTGCATTTGTCAAGTGATTTGGCAGTAGGTTATATTTCCTGCATTCTAATAAGAACTTAAGTTGCGCCATCTGTTTGGTTAACTTCTGTTTTAGTTTACTGTAGCGTTTCAGTGTCATGCATGTGTGTTCGCCGTGTTTGTACTTCATATGTTTGTAGAAGTCCTTCATGTTTGTTGTTGTGATTCTTCGTTGATGTTTAATAAAAAGAAAAAATATATACCTCGGCAGGCCTTCCGAGATTATACAATTTGATTATTAGTTGATGATCAATTTTTGGTATAATATTTTAGGTATTTCAAAGGCTTTTTGATCTCTTTTATGTGCAAGAAAACACTGTTCTTCACGTTTTTACCAGACGTTTCGCTAAAGTCTTTAGCATCTTCAGGGG